GGGGGGGGGGGGCCCGTCAACGTCAGAGTAATGATTGTAATTGATATATTGGATAACTAAGGCGATGCTATATCAGAACTCAGAAAATGTGTGTGGGCATGGAGAATCGACGACGAAACCGCCGAAATAGAGAATGCCATCCGGGAGCAGAGGCTAGCATTGGTGTTTCGTCCAAATGAAAAAGGCCAAACAAAAACCAACAAGCATTATGAGGGGGTAATGACCAATGCCCTTGTGGAAGACCCGCTGTGCCCACTCGGTTCCTTCACTCTGACATGCGTCCCGTCTAAATCCCAGGTGATAACACAAATGTTGTCTTTGCATAGACGGGAAATCCTGATCCTAGGACGACATTACTACGCCGTCTCAAACATACTCACCCCAATAATCTCCTGAATCTGGCTTGATAGGCTTCTGGGGCTTCATTCGCCCTCAGAAGCCCACCGGCAGTGTCCAATTTGGTCTTCAAGCTGACGAGGGCCGCAGGCGAATCTTTCCGGACGATTTCGAGTGCCTCTAGCATGTTGTTAAAGGAGGGCGGGTTTTCAATCAGGCTGTGGTAGAGGCTTGTCTCTATTTCAGCACCAGAGGTAGTCCGGCGCCCACTTCGACGGACGGGACAAAGATCCTCGTGCCGCCTGCAAATTCCTACCAATGTATCGAGCAGGACCTCAGCGGTTGCTGCTTGGCGAATTGATCTGAAGTTCAAATCGGTCACGGCAGCTTGTGTGAGATAACGAAATTTCTCGGCTATCTCGGTAACCTGGGCTCGAATCTCTTTCGTCGTTGGTTGGCGTGTTTGCTGCTCATGAGCTTCAGGGTCACCGATGTCATCGTATCTCTTGAATTCTTTTTGAAAGCGTCTTTGCAACTTCTCGCTAAACATTTGGGCTCGGCGGGTCGGTGTACGCCATTTATCGAGAGCATGGAAGGTATCTTCGTCGTGACAACCCCATTGCATCGCTGTCCCGATGACATCAGAAGGTCTGGTCCATTCCACAGGGTTTCTCCCGGCTTGTTCTTCGTTAATTCGTTCAACGATTTCGCCGAGGAATTCTGATGGCAATCTGTATTCGTCAAAGGAGGAAAGAATGTCTCTGACATGGGTCTTCCGTTGTTCAAGGCTGAGTTCAGCGAACCTCATGTCCCCGGGCAATGAGAGATTGGAGAATTGTTCGGTGGGTGTAGACATTGTTCTGACGACAAACCTGTGGAGGGGATTTTGCAGGTCTTAAAAGACAAATGGGCACTATCCCTCTCGATTCTGAAGGCCGGTCAAACCGTGAAGGTCACAGAGAGACCCCCAGGTCAGGAGGGTCTGATAGAAAGGCCATTAGGAACAACCGACCTGTTGATAAGGTGGAAGGAATGGCCTTAATAGGTGGTAACGAATGGAAGGAGAAGGCAGACAATCGATGACAGCACCTTCACACATCATTCATGCGCGGCAGCACCTTTAGTTCTCAGGTCGGCCATACCACCATGACGACAGCTTCCCAAGCTACAAGCCGCACGGAGAACGTTCAGGGCTCTTGACGGAGAACTAACCTCTTCCGCAAGGCATACTCGACGGCTTGAATATGCCGTTGTAAATCCAAAGGGTCAAGGAGGGGGCATGGAGGGGGGGGGAGCAGCCCAGAGCGAACGTCGGATACGGGGTGCATCACGTGACTCGACCGGGGCGGTCGGCGCGTGCTTTTGGGCGTCTCATTCGACGCAGACCCCGGATCCAGCGGGGTCATTTCGCGGTAGACGAGGCGATGCATGTCAAAAAGGGTTGGTTCAGACGTCCTAAAGAGGCGGAAGACAAGTCGACCCATCTGGTCGCAGGCAATATTGGGTGTCGTGGAGAGGAGTCGAATTCCGCCCGAGCGACCGAATTTGCAGCCCTGCGACCCTAATTGCAGGGTTTGTAGCGGGCAACTAGGCAAACTGAGGTTCGGAGAAGGGAACTGGAGCGGCCACCAGGTGATTTTTCAGAGAAAGAGGTTGAAAGTTGGGCAATACTTCAGGAGTTTGGAAGCTGCCAAGGACGTTGATATGATGTGATTGACTGTGTTCCAACCTGCATCAACTGCCCGCCTTGCATAGCTTCACCACATACCATGTCGATAAATTTCGTTAGTGGCCTTTGGTCGGCATAATTCATGAAAGGGAATGATCCTTGTCATGGAGATTTTTCGTACTTTTGGGCTGCAATTGCCCCATGAAGATAGTCACGGAATTGGATATCTTTCGCTCCGTTCGCAGCCGGCCCGCATTTTCTTGTCGGCCCCCCTGGATATCTCCAACCACACTCCGAGCCAGGAGCGAGGTCCTTCATGTTCGATATCGTCATGAACCTCGAGCCGCATTAGCATATCGCGACCATCATCCTCCGCTAACATCGATACAATAGGTCGACGTCTAATCATACGACCCATTGCGGATACATCCTTGCTGCAGTTGTGCGACGTCCCGACTCTCAAATTCCCCCCATTGGGGGTGTTGACTTTTTGTTCAACAGCGGATCTTCCCGGTCCCTTGTGCAGTAGTATTCCTTTCCGACTCTGGTTGCTGCCGCGCCTTGGGCGCACCATAACCGGCCTGGGGATCGTCGATGACACACACTCCAACAAGGTTTTTGTCGCGGCCTCTTCGAGGAAGGGCTACCGTGCCCCCTTTTGCTAATTGCCCATTTCGGAGCTGGCAAAGGTTGACCGGCACCGGCAGTTGTCCCGCTTCGGCGTCGAGTACGGATGACGCAATGGTGACGAGTCGAGACAGGAGTTATTTCCTCTCGTGATTCACCTATTGTCGTTCAGTTCAGCCTTTGTCGACGGTGATGGTGGCTATAAGAATGAACATGGATAAGAGAATCTAGATCAAGTCAGAAATCCGACACGTAGGACCACCGAACCATGACGGACTAGTGTTGTGAGCATGCCAACGCACTTGATCTCCCACCCTCCAGAAACAGCATATCCTCGAGCCATCTCCTTCTGATGTCGAAGAAACCTCATCGCTCCACAGGCGCATATGATGATGGCGGCGCCATGGCAGACGCAGGATAAAGGTATACTGACGACCAAAAAACCGAGTTCGGGATCTGGATTCAGATTACGTGACAGCCGCATCACCTGTGCAACGATCACACCCAGCATGGCGAACGCCTGACCGGTTCGAAGGTAACCTAGAAATGTTCTCTCATTTGCTAGAAAGGGCCCATCAGCAACGCCCAGAGCCAAAAATGAAGCCGATATTTCATGCTCCAATATCGCGAATTCAATTTTGGGATCGTTTCTGTACCTTACCTAAATGGTCACGGCAGGCAACATGGGGAACTCCCAGAGAGATGTGTCTCTTCCACCATCGTGTGAGTTTGCGATTGTTTTGATTCGTCCTTGTAGTAGACAGCTGTGGAAATGAACGCGCTTGACTTAGCTCCAAGGCTTCCTGATCAGAAGGATTTCTCAATATGCGATGAGCTGAAGGAAGTTCGACACGAGCATGCTCAGCTTCCGCCATTCGGTTCACCAGGATCAAACCCAGGTTCCGGAATGGATCATGGAAAAGAAAAAACGAGGACTCGGGAAGGAAGGTGGTGGAGATCGTTGCAGGATTCGGGGCCTTGTTTAAGTTCAGAGACGGAGATGGCACGGGATGTCGTCATAGATGCGGAAGCAAGAATGGTCGGATATTCCAAGAAAAAGTGACCACCATCGATTGTTGGGTCTCATCGCATGAGGCGGTGGATGGTCCGAGGATTGTTGGCATGAAGGACACAGGAAAAGGCGATGGAGAGATGAATTCATGTTCGTGATCCGAAGTGGGGTAAACCACCAACCAGAGCCCCGACAACGGGTTTGATGGGTGGCAATGATTGGGCAGTCTGAGGCTGTTGGTTCTAGATAGAAAAATTGCAGCACCCGATACGTGGGTAAGCTAGGCGTGTGGCATGGTTACGGTTGCAGCTCCAGGGCTCTGGTCCACGGTTCTTTTTTTCCCCTCTCGACCAGCCACAGCCTTTCCTGTATTAAGGGCTCCCAACCTCCTCCATCACCACCGTCTTCGCTACCCTACCATCAATGTCCAATCCATTCTTCATATCTTCGATCTGTATATTTTTCGACCCTTCGCTTCATCCACGGCCGTCTGTGAGACCTCCGATCGGTGTGACCCCGCACTCGACCCATCGGGCTCTATCGCCATTGTCTTGCCGTGTCGTACAACGCACGCCGACAAAAGTATCGGCAACAGATTGGCCTGCGCTGGAGTTCAGACTGGTAGCTCGGAGCTGCAGTAATATAATTCAAGATGCTCGGGGGTCTTCTCTTCTGCCTGTGGCGAATCGCCGAAATCGTCACCTTGATCCCCATCATTGGCATGCTGGTGCGCGCGCACCCCCTCTTCATCCATCAATCTCCCTTCACTGACAATTGCTAGGCGTGGTTCGTCGATGGTTTTGATGACAACAACCAACTCACCCCCGACTTCATCCTGGTGCTCTTTATTGTCTCCACCCTAGCCTGCGCCTGGGCCATCGCGACCCTCTTTCGACTCGGGTCGACCCGGCGTTCCGCATTCTTCGTTGCTCTTGTCGATCTCTGCTTTGTCGGCGCCTTTATCGCTGCGGACTACTACCTCCGTGGCATTGGTGACCAAGACTGCTCCAATTTCTCCAGCGGTTCCATCTACATCGACCTCGGCCCTTTTGGATACTACGGGCGGAATAGTGGTTCGTCATGGGCCAGCGACCTCGACAAGAACTGCTCCATGTTGAAAGCCTCCTGGGCTTTGGGCATCATGAACACAATAATGTTCTTCTTCACCTTCGTCCTCGCCCTCTTCCTTCACCGCCACGAAAAGACTGTAGTGGTCAAAGAAGTCAGAAGGTCAAGACACAGCAGCCGGAGAGGTCATTCTCGGTCAGGATCAAGAAGGAGCAGCAGCCGTCGACGCTATTATGTCTGATGGAGATGCAAATGAAGACACATGAATCTGCGCATTCGGACATTGAAGCTGCCGAAGGGAAGGGGGAATTGACGAGACGTAGGATGGGATTGAACTAACGAATTTCCTTACCGTTCGTGATTTCAATTGGATTGGTATGACCTGGAATCTGGACACTACCAATGTACTAGCGACCCAGCGAGCCTACAGTTTGTGCTTTTGATCATGTTTTTGGACGAATGCTCTGAATTAGATGGTGGACGAGATTGAGCAACGGGGATTGAAGTGGCTGTGCTGAAAAGATGACTGGATGCCCTTAGAATTAGTATAAAGATCCCAGGAGAGGAAAAAATAAAGAAAAAGAAGAAGCACCGAGTCTCTAAAATCAGAATCGAGTGAAACTTCGTTGGTAAATTGACACTTATCATGATGGTCACAATTTGTTTTCGCAACAGAAGCAAAGGGTTTGTCCATGCTACACTTGAACACGCGGCATCTCGATCCCGTCTTTGATAATCTACACCTCCCCTATGTCTCTGCACCGTATTTCGACGTCCAGAGCACGGATCCCATCGGAACCACAGCATAAAGCAAGGCCCGGCGACAGGGAGGACTAGACTTTGCTTGAAACCTGGTTCAACACCGTCTCTACGAGCTCAGCCTGGCCCACCTCAACGTGCTTCGGATCAACAGTGACCGGATCCATGTCTTCGTGATGCACAACTTTCTCGACGGCCACAACAGCTTGGTCTGCCAGGGCTTTGTCCTCGAACACTGCGCGGCCAGAGGTTAGTTGACCTTGTCTAGACAGAACGGGGAGGGGAGTTGAATGCTGCTTACAGAAAGCCAATTCCTCGAGCGTCCGATTGGCCGTCTCGGGGAAGAAGAACCAGACGAAACAGACTTCAAACGCTAGCCAGCAACAATAGGTGATTAGATATTTCCAGGAAATGCTGTCCAGGCCGATGGGATTGACGAATGTGGTGAAGAATCCGGCCATACGGCTGAAAAGCTGGTACACCGCGATACCGCGTGATCGTTCGGCGAAAGGCCACAGCTCGACCAGGTATGTATAGGTCAAGGCGTTGTAGCCGATATTGTAGCAAGGGGAGTAGGCGAAGATGAAGAAAATGGTTGCGGCGCCAGCCGCCGAGTTACTGCGCCCGGCTTCACCGGCTACGATGCTTTGTTGCATTGTCACCGTCCAGCAGATGTAGACGATGAGCAAGCTGATGGTGCACGTCAAGTACATGGTGCGGCGCTTGAACCGTGTCACCAGCATTGCCGCGGTAAAGCCACTCACGAGCGACCAGCATGAGTTGCCCAGGTTGATTTTTTGTTTGAAAGTCGAGTCGTCATGGCCGATCATCGCAAGGAGGTCACCGAGATAGTACGAGATGAGAGTATTGCCGGACCATTGAGTGAAGAGACCGAGGAAGCCGGAAAGGAAGAACCGACGACGATTTCCAGGGCTGTGGAGGACGGAGAGCCAGGACCTTTTGGACGCCTCGAGCTCCAGCCTGATGGTGGTTTGCATTTGAGCCATTTCCGCGCGGACGAATTCAGATTCGCGGTCGCCTTCGGCATGGTATTTCACGAGGATGTCGTAGGCTTCTTCGGTGCGGTCCTTGGTAATAAGCCAACGAGGGCTCTCAGGGAGCAAGAAGACAAAGGCAATCTGGAGCAGAGAGGGCGCCATCTGAAGAAGTGAAGGGATTCGCCATCCCCAATTATTTGGAATACTATTGGTTCCAAATGTGATTCCGGCAGCGGCGATTTGGCCTAGAAGATGTGTTAGTTCGAGCTTCATGAGAGAAAAGGGGTGAATTAGTGCCCTCTAGGAACTTACCGACAAAGTAAGCGACATTGAAGAGCGACGTCAAAACGGGCCGCTCTTTCGGATAGCCCAGTTCGCCAATTAGGGACGAACCCGAAACAATGCAAGTGGGAATTCCAAAGCCCAGGATGATTCGGGCCGCGATATACATGCCGACTAATCTCCACGTGAGAAGACATTTCTGAGCAACGTAGATGTGATCTTACCATGTCGAGAGAAGCCCTGAATCAGAGCTCCAATGACCATGATGGCTGAACCGCCAAAAATTGACCATCTTCTTCCAAATCTGTCATTCACGATTGGAATAAACGGCAGGGAGAGAATAGCTCCGAGCGAGTACGCCGCAGCGATGATGCCTTTCAGGGAGCCTTGTGGATCGTCGAAGTCTAGTTTGTCATAAGTAAAGGGGTTCAACTCTCCAAAGGGCCGCCGAATCATACAATCAATCCAGGATGGAACGATTTGAAGAGCATTGATCAATTGAGAGTCAAAGCCAGATGTCAATTCAATTCCCATACATGTGGGGAAGAGCATAAAATAAAGGCATCGCAAATTTCGTTTCCGGTACCATGGTACCTTGTCTTCCTGTGCAATGCGGGTGAGAATGGGCTCTGACGCCCCTGTCTCGCGTGTCGCAGGCTTGAAAAGACCCATGATGATGTCAGGAAAGTCCGTGCAGCTATCAATGACGGACAGCTCGACAGAATCATCGAGGAAGCTCTCTCCTTCTTATTCCTTCGAAGCCCGCCACCAAAGGTCTCCATGAGGGGGACAGCAGCGCCAATGAATTTAACCTTGCTTGCAGCCATATCACCCGACATAGAAGGAGGAAGAGAGACAACGACCTTCCATCTTGGGGACACGCGGACAGCGAAATGTGAAAGGTGGAAGTCTCGTGGGGGAGTTAGATAGTGGAGACGCAAGCAGATCTGGGGTCTAGTTGCGGGGAGAGCAGATTCAAGTCCGTCGGTCCCTGGTCGTCATCGGCGAGGCAGCCTTGCGGTGGTATGGCTCCAGGCGAGGTTGACTGTGAACCTGATCCCTCGTATTGTCCGGCAAAAACCATGGCTGGAGTTCTTCTGGCTTCGCGACAGATTGTCTAGATACTCCACCTAGGAAGGTGTTTATCGTGGTCATGATAAAAGGGGACTTCTCGGTAGATGAAGGCCCACATTATCCAGGAGACTGGTCGGTTCCCCAGAATCGTTTTTAGGATAGAGAGCATTTAGCCTTAATCCAGAAGCCCCTGGTAGCCCAAGCAGGGTAAAAGGGAAGCCAAGATACACTTGTTCAAGCTCCGTGCTGGATGCGGAAATCGAGCAACATGACGGTCTTGTAATACCGAGAAAAGTGATGGAGATGTTCCTGGGTTTGCATAACGTTGTCGCGGAGTCCCGGGTGAGAGAGAAAAAGTGTGGGAGAGTCTCGTCGGAAATAGCGTAGCCTAGCCTCACATTTCGTATACAGGTTGTACGAGCTTTTGTACGAGCTTCTCATGCCCAGTATATGTGGAAGTGTTATAGAGAAGTGTCCTTGTGTGAAGCAACTATTTTGAGTTCAATTCTCCAGGACCTTACTCTTTCACAGACCATTGATCTTATCGATTATTCGAGAGAACAATTGCACTTTCGGATGCTGCCTCCTCTTCAATGGGATCGGCAGCAAGTAACTATGCACCGTGCCTTTTCAGTTGTTTCTGTCATTGGAAATATATGTTCGTCACCACCATCTTCCGGCTCTTTTGACCGAGTACTGCAGGCATGAATGATGACAGGTACGGCATCTCGTCGGCAATGGGTTGTCCATTATGAAGCATGGGATGATTATGGGTCGATTCTCAGATAAATTCATTGAGCAATCTTCCCACCCCCCCCAAAAAAGGATCCCTGCGAGTGATGGAAACACCATGCCCCTTCGATGTCGAGCCATAGGATTATCCGTTCAGGCCAAGTACTTCCCGTCCAGGCCTGAGAGCTTCAATGGTTCTTTCTTTAATACGCCATCCCCGATCATAATAAACGGTCCGCATGATGCGAGAGCTCTCCAAGTATTCTCCAGGTTTTCCGCCTCTGCTGACCTTTCAGTTGCCCTCTACATATATCAGAAAATCAATGTATCTTTTTTCATGAGAAATCCATGCCTCCCAGGGGTGGGGGATCCAGGCCAAGCCGTGGGGCCGATAAGACGGAGTCCGCACCAATCAAAGCACCAAATTCGGTGGTCGGAGAAGGCCGAAGCCGGACCATTAAGTTTGCAGCTTCATCCATCCCCCCACCCTTCGACAACTTCCATCGACTCGTACTCGTACATCCCAAATTTCTTTCTTTTCTTGACGCCTCGGCGCCTTCAGCAAGAGGCTGATATAACTAGTGTCGGCTCTATTGAATCTCCTTCAGCTTCATCAGGCCATCAATGGGCGACGCAACTCCGTCTGTTTTGCAAAGCGACTATCAACAGATGTTGCAGGACTGGCCACCCTGATGGATATTCGCCATTTTTCCACCTCCTCAATTGAAGCCCAAGCTGTGGCCACCGTCAATCCAGAGACCGGATACATCGAGAATATCGACGACATTCGAGAAGCAGAATACCCCAATCTCGCGGACACGACGTATCTCGACCATGCGGGAACAACATTATATGCCAAGTCTCTAATCGAAACATATTCCAAAAAGTTAACCGAAAACCTCTTTGGGAATCCTCATTCTGCCTCAACCTCGTCCCAATTATCCTCCCGTCAGGTTGATGATGTTCGACTCCAAGTCTTGCAGTTCTTCCAGGCTAACCCCGACCATTTTGACGTCGTATTTGTCGGCAACGCCACGGCAGCCATCAAGTTTGTTGGAGATGCCTTCCGAGACCATGACAATGGTTTCCGATACTATTACCACGGCGAAGCCCATACCAGCATGGTTGGCGTGAGAGAACTTGCCTCTCGAGGCAGTATTTGCCATGCAAGCGATTGTGAGGTTGAAACATGGATCCACGGACTCGAACACGGGCACGTGGTCGACGGGGGAGACCTCTCCCTTTTTGCCTATCCGGCCCAGTCGAATATGACTGGCCGACGGCTTCCTCTGCGGTGGTGTCAAAGGATCCAAGACGCAAGAAGAACATTCGGTCATCCCGTCTTTACCCTGCTTGACGCGGCAGCCCTTGTGTCCACTGCGCCTCTGGATCTTTCAGATAACTCAGCCGCTCCCGACTTCACCGCGCTGAGTTTCTACAAGATTTTCGGATTTCCCGACTTGGGCGCATTGATCGTACGAAAGGATTCTGGAGACGTGCTGCGACGACGCAAGTATTTCGGTGGTGGGACCGTGGACATGGTCACCATGTATGGGGACGCCGGCCACGCAAAGAAAGAGTCATCCTTGCATAGCTGCCTCGAAGACGGCACTCTTCCGTTTCACAGCATTGTCGCCTTGCAATCTGCTTTAGATGTTCACCGGCGCCTGTATGGTTCGACCATGAACGTTTCAAGACATGCCAATTTCCTTGCGTCGAATTTGAGAAAACAATTACAGCGCCTACGCCATGGTAACGGAAATCAAGTATGTTTGATCTACACGGAGGATGTCTCGCCAGCGTCTTCCCAAGGCCCTGTGATCGCCTTCAACTTGAAGGACAAATTGGGCCACTACGTGAGCAATTCCGAAGTCGAGAAGCTCGGGATAGTGAAGAGTATTCAATTCAGGACCGGCGGCGTTTGTAATCCCGGTGGTGTCGCGTCCCATCTGGGACTTTCCGTGGATGAAATGCTCCAGAATTACGCGGCCGGTCAACGATGTGGAGGTGAGAATGACATCTTGAATGGCAAACCGACGGGTGTGATTCGAGTCAGCGTCGGTGCAATGAGTAACATGAACGACGTCGCGACCTTTGCCAATTTCATCCGAGAATTCTATGTCGACTCAAGCCCACTGGAACCATTACCGATGTATACGACGGCACCTATTCCGACTAGGTCACCTAGCTCCTTTGTGGTCGAAAGCTTGTCGGTGTTTCCTGTTAAAAGTTGTGCCGCCTACCAAATTCCCTCCAATATCTCTTGGCCGGTAGGCCTGAAAGGCCTTGCGTGGGATCGAGAATGGTGCCTCGTTCACCAAGGGACGAATGCTGCACTCAGTCAGAAAAGATTTCCCCGGATGGCTCTGATCCGTCCCGAGATTGACTTACAGAAGAACGTGCTGAGATTGACTTTCGACGGGGACCTCTCAAGATCCCGATCACTCGAAGTGAGCCTCGATTCCAAACCAACGCGGACAAGGTCCATCCATACCTGTGATGCAACGAACAACAAGACATCGAGTGTCTGCGGGGAAGATGTCGATGTCGATGTCTACACGTCGCCCGAGGTAGCAGACTTCTTCACAGAAGCATTAGGAGTCCCTTGCACCTTGGCAAGATGTCCGAATGCTGGCACCATACGCCAGGCGAAAGTCCGTGTACCTGCATCGAATCGGCGGAAACAAGCTACTGAAACCGGGAGGTCGATGGCGCTCTCCAATGAGAGCCCGATCCTGCTGATCTCGCGGTCCAGTGTCAATCGCCTCAATGAGCAGATCAAGCACAACAGTGGCGTCGGCAAGGCGGTAGCTGCCGATTCATTTCGTGGGAACATTGTCATTGCCGAAGAACTTGATCGAGGCCAAACGGAATCACCTTATGCCGAGGATGATTGGACCAGTATCCAAATTGGAGATGAGCCCCACCATACCTTTGAATTACTTGGCCCCTGCCAGCGGTGCCAGATGGTATGTGTTGATCAGAAGAATGCTCAACGTAGACAGGAACCTTTTAGCACATTGGCAAAGACCAGAAGGAGAGATGGGAGAGTCTGGTTTGGTATGCACATGTGCCTATTGTTGAAGAGGGATTCGGTTGACGGTGAAAGCTTACCGGGAGTAAGGATCCAAGTAGGAGATCGAATAACGCCAGGAGTCACACGATGACGTTCAATCCAAGCCAGGACAGGTCGTTGGAAGAGAACTTCGAGCGAACATGTATCAAAAACGAGGATCGTGATGAAAACCCCCTCCCCCCTCCAGACTTATCTCAGGAGCGGGCACTTATAGTCTCCGCGAAGGCCAGAGGCTTGCTCCACGTGGATAAAAGACAATTTGACACAGTCCCCCCGCAAGTGGAACATACATAGTAATTGGCTCCTGTCGATGCGGGCCAAGATCTCAAAAAGCCCTTTGAACACTTTTCTCCTCTTCCTCTTCTCCAAGTTTCTCTTCTCTGTCAGTCTCATGTTTCTCAAGCGGTGATCGAATTTGTTACTCTTCACCCGCACAAGGACAGCAGGTATATACAAGGCTTCAAAATGCCTTCAAGAGTGTCCTTTCTTCCTGCTCGAGATTGACTGACTGTCACCCTCCGTCAGACGCTCGATAATCTACTCTCCTAGAGGATCAAGGAGCACACAGGCCTCAAGTTGGGCAAAAAAGCCACCTTCAGAACAGGAATGCTAATATGCTAGAAAAGATAATCGAATAAATTATCAAGTGAATGCTCTCCTCCAAGATGAGGTCGTACACCTATCTGTCTTTCATTAATCTCAATGGTACAACTTGATACGATTTCAAGCACCCTTCGCTGGGGACCAAAACTCCTCCACACGCAACAAAAAGGCCTTTATCGCTCATCGACAAATTCAGCAATACAACCCCAAGCAACTTGATTTGTTGTCCAACCACTTAAAAGAAATTCGTCTCGACGTGCCCCGTTGTCTACAACTCGGAGAATGCGTCCTCCGACTGAAATCGTGCTTTCTTTCGCGATTGCACCTTCAAATCATCGCTCAACAAATGCGTATCGCCATCGAGAAAGCCGACGGTGACCATGTCCTCGTCGACGATTTCGCGGAGCATTGAATCGAGGAAGCCCTTTTGTTCCCGAATGAAAGCTTTGGTGGCCGCAGTATTGAAGCCACGACGCGCTCGCTTTCGGTCACGAATCTCCTTGAGATGAGCTCTGATACGCTCCTCGAGCATCTCGAGGCGGTATTCCGCGTATTGAGAGTACAACTCTGAGAGGTCTGAAATTGCACGAACGGTAGTAAGTACTGTATCATCCTGGACGAAAGCAGACTTGGGTCGGAACGATGTCACCATTGATATGCGTTCAGAGGTACCAAGAGCCCTCATGGCTTGATGTTCGATATATCGTCCCTGAAGGATAACCGCGTTGCCCTTGGAAGCAGTTAGCGAACGCGATAACCGTGATGCCACGTTGAATTTCCCGTTAACGTACCATACCGGGCCCACGGACTTTCATGATATCGCCATGGCCTGTTCGCAATGCAGTCTCTCCACCGATCATGTTGGTGCAGTCACTGAGCATCGTCACACAGACAAAGGGATAACTGTCAGTGTGCCAGTCGACAATGGGTTCGTCGTCCTCATAGGGGCAACCGGAGACACCCTCATCGGCGTCTCGATGGACTTTCTCCTGCAAGGCTTGTTTGGTGGCCTCCTGTTGCTCCTCCGAGTTGGTGGAGATGTTGATATGTGCAATCTCAAAGTCCATGGCGGGAACAAGCTCCACACCGGCGACCTTGGACACAATGGAAAGAACTTCGGGGCTGCGCCACGCATCGTACACGAAAGGGGCATAGCTGGCCTTGTCAATACAGGGATCCCTCCGTCAAGTGGAATGTGAACTTACTCGGGGGCAAACCCTCGAAGCTGAAATTGAGCAAGGTTGCTTGAATATTTGCAGTTGTCCAGGACTGGCTTGCTCAAAACCTCTGCTCGCATCTGTTGAATGGCTTCTTTAGTGAAGAGAGAGAAAGGCTCCGAGACGGCGATGGGTGAGACACCTCTATCGGCCAGGCCAATCTCCTTCATGGACCAGACCTTTTCAGGCTCCTTGAAATTCAAGTGCTTTGCAGGATCAAATGAAGCCCTCTTTGGAGCACTTGGAGCCGTACTGATCAGAGGCGTTGACACCGTGGAAGTCGACCTTTTCCTTTTGACGGCGCCAATAGTCGAAGGAAGAGGGAGATCAACTGCAGAAGCCATCTTTGACGATGATAGGGAGTAGTGAAGGAAGTATGTGCAGCAAGAGAAGATAAAAGTTTCGGATAGATAAAGTGGCTCAACAATCAAGCTGGCTGTGGTTGATCCAAACCAGGTTTGATATCGAACAGTTGATGCTGATGGAAGTATTCAGACACAGTCGAAGAACTTATACCATAAAGCCCCTGAGTTGCATCCAGCAAACATCAACCATCCTGGGTAAGTGTACGTGGACCACCGACTCGCAACTCAACATCGATGTGTCGGAAGGGCTCAGGCCGGAAAGCTCCTCGAGTCGATGGCAACATAACCACTCACGAATCAACCGCACAACTCCACCAGATAGGGGGGATGAGAAAGTCGGGAAACGGCAGCAGAGACAAGCCACATCAAAGCATCACATTCGCTCGGAAGTCTGGGTCTTATCAGTTTCCTTATCACGATCGCCTGTCGGAAAGTCTTGAGGTGGATCTGATTTATGGTGAGGCGCCCTTCAACGAAAGCTGGGGATACCGGCAACGGATGTGGAGACAATGAAAAAAACAAGAGAGGTGAGCAAACCACTTTGTCATGAATGGAAATTGTTGCTTTGTTTGGACTAAAAATCACAGCCATGGCCGCTCCATTTTCCCCAGAAGCATTTGGGATCGAATCCATATCTTCACATGTTCACATGTCGGAACCCTTCTGGCCAAGCCGCTTTCACTCCGGATCCGGCTCCGCAGTGGCGGCGAGGGATGGACGAGCAGAGATGTGACATACTTGCAGCACGTCGGCAGTAACCACATGATCGAACATAGGCGGATAAATCTCGAATTGTGGCATCACAACCGCAGTTGGGCTCCGAGACAGAGTACTTCTGTCGGTGTGACCGTGGGCCAACACAATCTACTTTCATTATTCATGTCGCAGCCACCTCAAAAGGGTTTCCGGGATGCATCGCTTATTGAATGAAATGTGTGGACAACCCCGCCGAGAGTAGATGGATCTGTTGACCAAAAATGGTAACGTGCCGGGTGTCCCAAACTTTCTCTCGAGATATGGTTGGTGGGCAGCAGCTCGATCGGGTCTGGGATTGTCTCGGGCAAGCTCTCGCGGGCAGGGTTCTAGTGCGTGATTGACCCTGATTTCCTGGATCCCTTTCACGAGGTTTCATGAACAATATTTGAAGCTGGAATCATCTTCTGGACGAAGGCAAATGACGCGTCACACTTTCACTCGAAAATCGATGGATGGGGACACGCATGTTCAGGATTTAGGGGGGGAAACAATGTCGTCCGTCCGATTTCGGTCGGTCATTGCTGACGGTCCGCGACATGGAGCAAAAGGAGAGAACTGACGAGAAGCGAGCAGATGTGCCGCGGTGCGCCGGGTCCAGATTCGGGGGATTTGATATTGTATTGTAGACTCCGGTGCCGAAATATAATATCCGACCCAGAATTGCAGTGAGGTCCTACCCACGTCGAGTGGTAGCGGCGGGGTCAAATAAAGAATCTTATCAACCTCAAGACACGCTAGGGTGATAACTTTACCAATACGGGCTAATAGAAACTAAGCTTATTTCGGTCAGCTTCAACCTTGCAAACAAGGTTAGCCTCATCTTGGATCGCCGCCGTGCAGCTGCAACCTGCTCCAGAGACTTGTTTCTTTAAACAACGACATGGCAACTACGGCGTCGTCGAGCCAGGAATCTCGCCCAGATCCCAAGATAGATACATGGGGCAAATCCAGGGCAGCCTTTGAGTCGTAGGCGGGCCGTTCCTTCTGTATGTCCAAGCCAACGCTAATTCCTTATTGATTCTCAGGAAACGCAGCTCAGAATACTACGATCCTTGCCAGGAATTTGCGAACAAGAGTATAAAATGCATGCATCGGAATGGCGGGGACAGAGACATGTGTCAGGATTACTTCCAGTGCGTCCTCCGGCTGTGTGGCAATGCCTCAACGAGACTCTCATGCGCCGGCAATATCGATCCTACGAGCCGTTGGACCATTTGACACGAGAAAGACTGACAACAGCGTCATACATAGGGCCTACCGTGACTGCAAGAAAGAATGGGTATGGTAGCCCTTGTTTCCATCGTTCGGAGGCGACCCTGACGGGATCCCTAGATGACGAGACGAAAAGCGGAGAGAGGCTCGTGGTTCGGTTGAGACATCGAGACCGACGACCTATGACCTATGTAGAAAAGGATTAACATGACACATGAAGGCATAGCGAGGCGCGGTATGTCTCAAAATAGTTCAATGTCAAGCCCGGCGTGTTGCGTAAGAATGGTCTGAAAAAGTAAAATAAAGCAACAACTATCTCCTCTGCTTATTTTTGTAATCGGCTCAATCTGAGTCCCTCGTGGAACGAATCCATGAAAGCCAGCATGTTGGCCCCACGTTTAATTCGGGATATTTTTTGTTGACAGCCTCATCCACGTTTCCCCGCACAGATCTTTTGTCCTTCTCACTGTTTGGTCCGAAACATGTCCGATCCGGCAGTCAGTGAGCGCCGAATACGTCCGATTCAAGATGCTGTCGCAGGTACAAATTGGAAGCAGGCTCTACAGCTTTGCGACAAGTGGTCGAAAAAAGGAGAGAAATCAGACCGGTTTTTGGTAGGAGACAACCCTCAAATTGACCGCTCAAAAAAAAGGCTGACCGCCGTAGGCGTTGAAAGCCTTCGTCCTTGTCAATCAGCCAGATAAGTCCCAACATGATCGAGGCCAGGCAGAAGTCTTGGAACTATGCAAGCGAAACCCTCCCATCACCGATCCTGAAGCAATATACCAAATGCAAGATGCGCTCAAGAGTCTGTCATTGAACGAAGAGGAGGGCCCCAAACTGTGGGAGCGAGCTGTCATCGCCAAACAAAATGACAAGGACCTATACATCAGATGGCTCAACCAAGCCATCGCCGACGACAACTGGCTTAGTGCTCAAAAGGTGTGAGATATGGTTCATTTACGAGCACAAGAGACGGACTGACATGGGGCCCATCGGACAGGCCACCATGGGGTTACGAAAATCCTTCCCAAAAGAACGAAACTACGAATTCTGGAATATCTTGATGTGTTTGCTGATACACATGCAACACGACCTTCCAGAAAAAGACAGAATGCTCTTTGGTACGCTCGCATATCGAATGATTTCAAAAGCCACCGAAACAATTCCGCTTGGTCAGGTGAGTTATACATTTCTCGGGGGAAGAGTTGGGGGCTCATGGCATGTAGGAACAGGCCTTGTCTTCGGGAAAAGCAATCTCCACTCCGGAAGAAATCTCACTACTCGCCCAAGTCTTGAATTACACGGGGCGAGCGGAAGAGACGGTGAGACTCCTTCGAGGAGAGTCATTGAACATGACATCTCGGATCGGCAAGCAAGATCCCCAACTTGTACTGTCTTTGCTTCTGGAGTCCCTGAATATGTCGGAACAATGGAGTGAGGCTCTGAGTGTGTGCCAGGAGCTTTTGGCCAAGGCCGAGTTCCAATCAGATGATCGGATTTGGAATCTGTGGCTGAAGGCACAATCGAGATGCTCTGATGATGAGTAACTAACGTTGAATCAAGCTTGAAACCGTTGAGTTGCTAATGTTCAACTAGATTCCACTCACAATCTCCACCACTACTCGATTCTCTGTGTAATGTCAAGCCAATAATCCGAGGACCCTATTTGGCCAAAATGGCCTTTCTGCGGGCCCGGAAAAACGACGGCAATTTGGACGCTCTGCTTCGAACTTGCAAGGAATATTCGGAGGCGTTCGCCCTAAAAGCCTTTTGTTTTGATGACCTGAAAGAGTCTCTTCGACAACTCGACAAGGCTCGATTCGATGACTTTATGAAATGTCTTTCAGAAAATCATGAAAACTTGGCGGAACTCTTCAAGCTCAAGCTTTCATATAGCTCATTTTCATCTGATGTTCGGAGGAAAGATCTTCTGGATTTTATATGTCGGGCTCTCAGCCTCTATCAAGGCTCGCTGTCAAAAGGCCCAGCATGCGCCGAGGCTGCCATTCTGGCTGTCATGGCCTTACTGAGACTTTCACAGACGGAAGACACCAGACAAAGTATCCTCTTTGCAATAATCTTTCTTCAGATTGCCCGGTCCGAATTCGAAGACTACTACTTACTGAATATACTCCTCGTCCAGCTTCAATCATATCTCGGTTTGCTCTCCCTAGCGATGGAGAGTTTCGTCAAACTCAGCGTGAAGAACATGCAGTGGGAAACGGTGGGACATCTTATTTTGACCAGGATATCGTCTTTACATCCCTCGTCTACCGGCCATGGTGAGAACGCATTCGAGCCTCTTAAGGTCGTCGATACGGGCTTGACCGTCCTCGAGAATGCCGAAAACGCTCTTGTTCGCGGAATCCGAGAAGGCCTGAGATTCAGCAGCTACTCGAATATCTACAACAGCATCAGGATGAGATCGGACATCGAACGAAGCGTGAATCGACAGGTCTATGCGATCGAAGAGCGGAAACTCAGGAGACTTCTGGGCCAGTCGGATGAAACAATTTTGCCGGCGTGTCCGTCGACTATTGTTGACAGTAGAGACGTCAGTTACCTTCCAAATTATGCCGAAAACGATTCCGCCCTGCTCGCCAGCTTCCGCCGCGGTCCTCTGCCGAAAGAAGATTGGATCAATACCATGGCGATTTTCGACAATGTGGCGACACACCTCAAGGCAGATCTCACGTCTCAAGTATCACTGGCCCCCAAAACGATGGAGAATATCAGAACAGCCCAACTCCGCGTCGATGCTTCTAGTGAAGGGTTAGCAGCGCAGCTGACACTGGCAGAGCTTTCGAACTTGGCGTCCCACCAAATACTCGCCGAAGCAGTAATGGCCAAGGAACGCCCGGGGCAACAAGACAAACTGGCCGTGCTCCTCGAGGACCTCAAAAGCTGGCTATCGGCAAGATTGACCGAGCGCAAGAGCCAGCCGCCCGGTTCAATCGTAGCGGGGATCCGCGTACCGGACTGGGAAGATCTTCATACCAGCCTTACGCAGCTGGAGACTCTGCAGGTCGTGGCAATGCTTGTCGCGAGCCTGGGAAAAAGGGCAAAGATGGCCAAACCTAAGGCCGTGTCGATTTCCAAGGAGACGCTGGCTGAAATCCACACTCTCGTCTCTGACCTGGAGCAACAGATTCACAGTGACGCGCGAGACATCAAAGAGCAGATTAATGCCCCCGGCGTCCTGACACGGTTGGTGGACTTGGGCATGGCGCGCGAAGGCGATGTTGCTAATTCGGAGCTTGAGTCCCTGCTGGAAAAATTGTGCGATGAGGTCACGATGGAAACGATCTGCGGGCGGTTAAAGGAGAGCTGGGAGGACGCCTTGGACGGTGTCCTCGCTGTCAAGGTTAAGTGGTTCAAGTGAGAACTCCAGGCCACATGTGATGATCGTGACAGGAGTTGGGAGGGACAGGAGGGAGGAAATAACACCCAGGAAATATTCCTGCAAACTGGAGCTTGAAACCCAAGATGTCTGGGTGAAGGGGAAATGGAGCTCTTGATCATTTTAGTGTCGGCGTTCTTCTTGGCCACCCAACCCTTGGGAAACGTAGAACTGGGATTAGTCGGCTGAACAACGTCAAGACTCTTTTTCCTGCTTCCACAAACAGATCTGAAACCCATGCCCATGCAGAGCCCGTGCCACAGAAGACAAAACGCCATTGCAGATGCTAACATGATGCAAGTCCCATTTTTCCCGACCCTAATCTTGTCGGCCTTTGAGCAATCGTTTGGTGACCTTGTCTTTCTCAATGATGTAGACATGTGCGCCCCAGCCAGAGAGAGCATCGCGGTCGACAGCGTTGAGTAGAGCTTGAGAGATGGTTTCGAAAAGTGCTTCCGGTTCCTGCAGTTCAATGTGTTAGATAGACTAATTTTGCTGGGTAGACATGGCGAAGACGGCCGTTACCAGATCTGGTTCCCAAAGTCCTTCACATGTGCCGAACAACTGTTCACTCGCTGTGCCGGCCACAATAAAGTCTTTCGCAAAATCAATGCATCCGATACTGTCAAAGCCGCAGATGAAAGGCTTGCCCGTCGTGTGATTTATCCCGGCGAGCACGGGACTGACGAACCAAGGCCCAAACCGTCTCTCGTACAGACTGCTCGAAACCAAATTTGCTAGTGTCTGGGGGGAGATATTTCGCTCTTCGCGCAGCCGGTACATGTTCACTTTATACCGGAAAGTGTCGCTCACTGTTTGGACGTCGGTGGCCAGACCCGTGAGACCCAGATATACGGAGGGTGCATAACTGAAGATCTTGGGGAAGTTGTTTGAGACGGTTAAGGCTTGGAGACCTAGTCGAAGGTCGCAGGCGATGGCCACGCAGTCTTTGCCGACCATCGCCACGCAGGCACCGCCATCTGAAAGGAAAGAAATTAGATGGGATTATGGGTTTGTAGAGGTAAACCGAGTGTGGACATACTGATGTCGAATGGTGAGCTCTGCGGTGGACGGGGTTAGCATTGAATATAACCTTGATGGGATGGTTGTGAGCGTAGGAGCTTACCATATTGAAGTGATTATCTGAATACCGTCGAAGAGAAGGGACAAGGGATAAACGAAATATCAACGAAGCATGAACCAAGGGTTGGGAGTGAAATTGTCAAAATGTCGAAGCTCTGGGGCCAGGCAAATGCAAGCAAACGCGTATCGCAGTCTTGGAGGTGAGGCTCAAAACAAAATGGCCAATAGGAGTTGAGGTGGCCGATATGACGCCAAGTTGCGTCCGCCTGCCCCCCCAGGCGACTTTCACCTTCGCCAGTGCGGAGGGACTAAATTGAATCAAAAAGACAACAACAACCGAAAGGATAATGACCAACACCCTTCTAGACTCTTCTATCTAGTCCAGTGGGCCGGATCTACGGGCATCTGATCATATCTCTCATTTTTATCTCTCAGGGCAGACAAGAACGGATTTCCTTGCCATTAACCCCCACCAGGCTCCAACCTTGACCAGACACCATGGCCTCTCACGTCGTGGTCATCGACTCGACCGCTCGAAGAAGCATGATAAAGACAACCCCGAACAAGAATCTGAGTGAGGTTCTAGAAGAAGCTTGCGGCAAGCTGGGACTAAATCCTGCCCAGTATGGCTTAAAGTAAGTGCGTTCTCTGATGAACGGCTGCTGATGGAATGGCGGCGTTGACAATGTTGCACAGACACAACAACAAGCAAGTCGATCTATCCAGAACGATACGGCTCTCTGGACTCTCTTCAGGCGCCAAACTAGAACTCGTCCAGTTGTCCAAATCTGCAGGCGTAGTCTCCATAGCCCTACAATTACCAGAGTCCGAAGCACGCGGAACGCCCAGTGCTCGACTTACAGACAGGTTCCCCAGCTCAACCACGTTATGGCTGGTTCTCAGAAAATTCGAAGCTGGAGTCGCCGGCGGAACCGAAAGGGCGCGAAATTTCACAGCCAGAGGAGTTCCCTCGACGAGGCGGGGCACTTCAGGAGCGGGAAGATTGTACTATGAACAGCCCGTGTTACAAGTGATGAATAGGGAGCTGTCATCTTTTACAGATCTGCAAAAGCCGTTGGTGCAACTAGGTCTGAACAGTGGTACGGCACTGCTGAGGCTGAGCTTCCGAGCCACTGAAACTCCGTTGGAAGAGGCGATGGCTCAGATACAAGGCTATTTCGAATCTGTCGAAGGATCAACTGTTCCAGGAACTCCGTCCCCAGAAATCCCGTCTTCAAATCAACCTGCAGTCCAAGCAGACGAGGAGAAGGATCCAATAGACAAGACTCCTTCGGGACCAGCTCCTCAGCCCCAAGAGCAACCTCTTGCGCCATCATCTCCGCAGCCAGAACAGTCATCCTCAGCAACAAGTCGACCGGTCTCCGTGTTCCGACCTCCAAGCTCATCCACCCCTTCAGCCGCCCGTGTATCTCACAACGAAGCCGATTACACTCCCACCGTCGAACATGCACATGTGCATCAGAAACTACTACAGCAAAATTCACGAAATGTCCGGTTACCCACCGAAGCCGAACTCGTAGCGCAGGCCAACGAAGAAGCGGCCAAGTTGGCCGCGGTGAAGGCAGTGGAGATTAAGATCCGATTCCCCGACCAGAGTGCCGTGAGCGCCAAATTTGGTCAAATTGACACGGCAGCAGACTTGTACCACTTTGTCAGGGAATGTTTAGAGGAGAAGTGGCGGTTAGAAGCGTTCATGCTCAGAAATCCGGGGATCAGAGGGAAGAATGAAGTAATTCCGGACGATGGAGCGAAGAAATTGATTCGAGATCTTCAATTGAAGGGCCGCGTGTTGGTGGTTTTCGGCTGGGATGATAAAAGAGCTAGCGTTCCAGCGAGGAGTGCCAAGGCTGTTTTGAAAGAGGAATTGAGAGCTCAGGCTCAAGAGCTGAAAGTGCAAGATATCCCGGACGTGCAGGACGATAAAGATGATCCCGGTGTCAAGGTCAATACGGCGAAAAAGGAAATGCCTGCTGAAGAAAGCTCTGAAGGGAAGATGAAGCTGCCGAAATGGTTGAAAGGGTTGAGCAAGAAATAAGCCTGTTTCTTGGAGACCCCTGTCTCTCTGGGATCTCAGAGTCAATCATGTCACAATGTCTGAGGTACCGTTCGCACCCTAATAGAAGAACTCCTGAACGACCGAAAGTGAAACGTAGATTTGTATGGATATCTTTGATGCCGCGACGTCGGGTACGGTACCCCGCCAGTAAGCCCTCGTATCAATTATCTCCCGGCCCTAAACCCGCAGTTAGACCGCACACAAATAAAATTATCTTGTGATTGGGGACCGAAACGAACCAAGTCGATTCGGAACTGAACATCTTCTCAATAACCTTCGTCTTTTCCTTTTTAATCCTTTTGGGCCTCTCTCTACGAGCAAGCAGCCAAGATGCCTTCCGAAGTCACCGACATCAAGCAATTCCTCGAGATTGCACGCAGGAAAGATGCCAAAGGTCTGCTGAATCCTTCACCAAATTACCCTTCCTGGCCTTGCTCTGATATCCATCTGTCCATAACTTTTTGGTGATTGGAACTTGCATGGGCACCGGCGCTGACACATGGTACCTTGTATAGGCGCTCGTCTCAAGAAATCCCCCAAGTCAAAGGACATCAAGATGAAGATCCGATGCAAGCGATATCTCTACACGCTCATCCTCAAGGACTCGGACAAGGCAGATAAAATTAAGCAGAGCTTGCCTCCTAGTAAGTGATATTTTCATATGAGAGTGCTTGGATTCAACTTTGGGTTTGCGGGAGTGGGAGTTTGAGGAATTTGCTAGACGTGTCATCAAGAGGACGGATTCGGCGAAGTGCTGGAAGGACGGAGAGCATGGTCAGAGAATCGAGAAGAGGAGGGAATCCAAAAAATGAATTCCCATGATATATGTGGGCTAGTCTCGATGATCGAGAATTCAAGAGCCGGGAAATAGGCGTGATCAGAGTTAGAGGCCAGCGTGAAGAAACATTGGCTAACATTTCTTTTACCAGGAATGCCCTTCCAAGAAATCAGCAAGAAGAACAAGAAACCCAAAAAGGCATAAACGCATCCACCACTGGACAAGGAGAGGACAAAATACTGGCCGTGTCATGAGTCGGGAGTTCAAGAGATCATCTGCACTGTCGAAAGGGTTCCCTGTTTCGAGTTCATCCAGAACCAACGGAAGATCAAGAAAGGAGTGCAAAGTAGGGGAGCAGGATTGTCACATTGCTCGAGCTAGAACCAGAAGAAACGCGAAACCTCACTGTACGATGAGAGACGACAAGCACAACCAAAAAAAAAAAAAAAAAAAAATAAGTTGGTTAGATCCAGGGCGTGGTATTCTAGACAGTGCAGCATAAAAACACATACATCAAAGTAATCTCGAGCAAATGGTTTGAAATAACAGTCCCCCGGTCTTGGCCTTGTCTATTGATGCTA